TGTAAACTTTCAATTGCTTTAGAGAGCGAAGTTGTGATTCTTTTTTTTATTTAAAAAAAAAAGACATGCTTGTCCTTTGAATTTTTGTTTCATGAATATCATGCACGGTATTTGGCTGGTTTCCGTGTTTGTTTTCTGGTGGAAATCTTCTTAATTAAATCCCGCTCGATGGATCGTGATAATTTGGCGTAAAGATTTCTCTTTTGTTTTACACATTAAAAAGCAATAGTAAGTACACTAGCCATGCTCTTGTACTAATGTACAAGGTGTGACGAAACCTGGAATAGACGCTCGAAAATTAAAATTTATGCAATTGTCCATTCAGAAATCAGTCACTCATTCTTTCTTTGAAGTGTTGTTATAGCAACTATACCTCCCATAAAATACGGAATATTTAACTGTAGGAAATTTGCTTTTGAGTTCGCGCGATATTTATTTTTCTGATCATTAAATTGCGTAGTCATTAATATTTTTAATTGTTAACTTCTTGGATTGTTTCTAGTCTGTCATTATACAGCATTCTTGTTCAGCACGCGTGCAATGACCGCGCTTGGCTGACTTCCGAATGCTCACCGAGATATGATAATTTATGAAAATGATATTTTTTTAACAGTGAGTAGATTTAGTGTGTAGCACTTCTTGATTTTTTGCAAAGGCACTAGAAGCACGAGAGTTGATTAAAAATTGTGAGTTAAACCTCTATGTATCACGCGATGGCCTGTCTCAATGTACCAAAATTATCATATCTCGGTGAGCATTCGGAAGTCAGCCAAGCGCAGTCATTGCAAGCGTGCTAAACAAGAATGCTGTAACATGACAGACTAGAAACAACAGACAACTCCCAAAGCACAAAATCAGCAAAAACGCTAAAAAACTTCAATGATTACTCAAGTTTGGGCTTATAGAAGATAATGTCACAGTTTTTCAATGACCATGAAATTCAGAATCCGGGTAGTTAGTTAATCAATTGTGGCCCTGAAAAAATTTGAAGGGAAAAAACTACGAATTTTTAAGAAAATGCTTTTTTCGTGCGAAGGACTCTTAAACGCTGACAAACGTCAACAAATAGCGAAAACTATAATTTCTATATGTTTGCTTTGCTCGAAATCGCGCGCATTTACAAGGCCCTAAACCTTTTTGCTGACTTGCAAGGACCCATCTGTTATAACAATCCCCAAAATAGAGGGATAAGTCTCATAGTTTATTAGATATAATCGTGTAAAGTTTGCTTATCATTTTCGCATAAATTATGACCTAAATTTGGAAACCGCTGAATTTCTCGAATTGGCTCTTTGCGATTTTGGTGAAACTCTGTTCAGCGCAAGGCACTAATGCGCACTATGTGTAGCCGAGAGATTTTCACGAAAAAATGCCGGCAACAGCAGATTTTCGACTCAGACCTCAAAGGGGCGTGGCATTATAACCACATGACATTTTCTCCGATCGCCAAAAAATTTATTTTATATTATAGATTGATCTATATGTTAATGCTTATGCAAAATTTTGGGGAAGGGAGGGGGTAAATAAGGTGTATTATGGGAAATGTGGAAGTGGCGTATGCACGGTTCCTAGGTTCTGGCCGTGTAAACGTAAGGCGCCGTGATTCGTGAAGCCTGCGTAGCAGGCGCTTGGCAAGCGCCGCCCTGCGATGTTTATCGTTCCCGATAAACAACAACTTGAGGATTGTGTAAGTCTCGGTTTCCTCTTTCTGACTTTCTGGGTCTTGTGTTGTTTATCGCATAATACATGGACTTGTACCCAGCCCTCCTCGGTTTGAAATTAGGCATTGGCGACGGCCCTCGTTTAGTTCGCAACATACAGCTATTTAGAGAAAGGTTGTCGGAAAACTGAAATTTGCACGCGACAATCCTGAAAGGTAATATGGGATATGCTCAATACACCTGTATACGTACCTGTCGAACCTACTTTTGTTGATTTCCTTTAGCAGCTCATAAACATACGTCCGTGGCCTCTCCTGCCATTAGGGACTTTAAGATAGAATGACTACGGACTACGACTACTGCATTAAACACGCTACTGCGCATGCTCAGAACCACGTGACTGTTCATTTTTCCCGCGTAGTCATGCGGCTACGGTGAGTTGTTGAGCTGTTTCGCGTAGTCGCGACTACGGAGAACATTTTGCCTGCATTTTGCCGTCTCGGTAATTCTAGAATCTGGTCTTTTCGTAAAAAACTTTTCAATTCACCTGTTAAGTGAGAGGGAAGCGAAATATATAAGTTGTGTCCAATTTCTGCTCAGATTTACTCTTTTAATATACTCGAACCACTTAAGGTTGTAACTACATTTTTATCTAAAACTAAAATAAGCTTAGCTGTTTATACGCAGAATTCAGATTGACGGCCGCGAACAGAAATCATGGAGGTAATTTACTATCTCTTCGCACTTAAATTTCAATGTTTGTTCGAAATTATTAGTGTGTCTTTCTGCTAGTGTAACCTTTGTTTATTCGAGTTTTTATATCGTATTTGCGGAATGAAAATGATATATTAAACATCTTTGAGGTAATCGAAACTCGGGATTTCAATACGTCAAACTACATCAGTAATCGGAGAAGTCCATCTTCTAAATCTAATAACTGAACTATTACTATTTCTGTTTATTTCTTTAAAATTTGACGTAAGTATTCATGGCGAAAAAATAAAAACTGTGTAACCAAAACTTTGTTCACCAATTTCACTCGACGTAATCAGTGCTTTCCCAAGTATGGAAGAATTTGTTCATTACTCTTAAGATAAGATCACATGCAAAATACTTGAACTGAACATGAAAACAAGAACATCGTTGCGTATTATTTCCCTCTCCGCCTCTTCTCTCGTAGCCTTCTGTCTGTAGTGCAGTCTTAACGTTCTATATTTGCTCGACTCAACCCAGTGCTACAAACAAAGGACAACACTCGTCCAGCCGTAGTTCGTAGTCCCTAGTCGCCGTACCCTAAAGTCTCTATACTCTAGTAAATTTCTTTTAAAAAACAGTGAACTCAAAACGAGCCAAAATACCCTTTGCGGTTGTCGCGTGCACTTTATCCAACAACCTTCCTCGAAATAGCTCTAAGTTATTCCTACCCCATAATATTCCGCAATTCAAACCCAATCGTAAAATCGTAAAGAGAATTCAACTATAACTAGAACTATCCAATTGGCCATTTCGGAATAGCGTAGGGAACTGGGGCGAGTTTTAAATTTAAACTAATCGATAAACTGAGACCACCATATAAAAGGTCATGTTGAGGTTGGTTATTTGAGCAAGTTTGGTGCTCCAAGGTAGAACAGGGATCAAGTTATGGCTCTGGAAACATGGCTAGAGATCCGTACAAACGTTTGTAATTTTGTGACAGCGTCCCCCAAAACCATATAAACTCTTAATTTTTTTCACGACTTCTGTGATATTCCTGAAAATTGGCAAACATAGTGATTTTCGAATTAGTTCCTTCCAAGATGCATGACGAATTTTACAGTTTAACAGAAAAACTGAAAAATCATGTTTCAAGAGTCATAACTTGATCCCTGTTCAACTTTAGAGCACCAAACTTGGTCAAATAAGGCCTGTTTCAAACGTCGTGCTACTGCCGTTCTAAGCTGGCTCGACTTCAGCACCACTCTAACACGACTGTAGCACCACTTGGTTTTAGACGTCGAATTTAACTCACTCGAATAAAATAGCTGTTGCGGAAAACAAAATTAAAAAATGAAAAGGGTTTTAGTGGACTTTTAAAATGTATTCTAATGCGTTTATAATTTATGAATTTAGTTTCGCACGGGCAGTAGCGCGACGTTTGAAACCAAGTCAAGCTACTGCCGTGCTAAAGTCGAATTTACTTCGATCAATTTAGTTTAACACGGCAGTAGCGCGACGTTTGAAACGGGTCTAACCAATCTCAACATGACCTTTTATATGGTGGGGTCAGTTTATCGATTAGTTTGAATTTGAAACTCGCCCCAGTTCCCTACGCAACTCCGAAATGGCCAATTTGACGGGTCTTTTTCTTAATACCGTGCACAGTCGCTTTCAAGAGCCAACATAAGGAAAGAGCCTATATCATTTTGGCCGGCTGTTTCTGACTTTGCAGAGCCCTAGGGCCCGTTTCTCGAAAGTCCCGATAACTTTTCGGGCCCGAAAAGTTCTTCTATGTTTGTGGTGTTTGCACTGACGCCCAAAATTTCAATAATTTTGAAAATGACACAATATTAGTTAAAGAAGCCGGCATAATGGACGGGTTTGTGAGCTGGCAACTTTGCTAGTACTGATTTTAGAATTTGTCTTCGGGCCCGAAAAGTTACTGGCCATTTGAGAAACAGGCCCCTAGAATGAGAATCAGCTTTCGTAAAAAAAATAATAACACTTGTCATATTTATATGAATTATTAATTAGTATTCTTACCAAAATATGACTTTTAAAGCAAATTTCCAATTGTTCGAAGACATATTGACTCAAAGTCAGTCGAGTACCGTTTAGGTTTTGATTGGTCGAGAAGCATTTAAATTGAGTCCCATAGCTCTTTTTAATAGTTTGTGTCACTGAGCGATGCTTTTAAGCAAATTCGTTTATAATTTACATATTATTAGGCAAAGCCCACTTTTAATGCTTACTAAATTTAAAAAAAAGAAAACAGAAAACACTAGAGAAAGCTGTGTTTATCCTTCAAGCTTTCTAATAAAACAGCTAGTAGTAGTAAGAAAATTCAGCCAACAGAGGGCTAATTTATCGCTTCTCTTAAATAGCTTTAACTTCCAAATTTATCACTCTTTAGCTGTTATATCACCGCGAGATACGGCCAAGAATTTGCATTTCAAAGAAATGATTATTTGAAGACTTCGCAGAACAAAGGGGGAGTGTTTTGAATCACAAACAAACGTGTCTGCTTGCAGCCTATGCCTTGTCCTCGCTGCGTGGTCTCTTTAAAATTCTAAAAATTAGTAATTCATCATTCACTGATAGCTTGCATGCTATTTTCACCTGCTCGTACCCGCTGAAATTTGGAGTAGAATGGGAAAATAACAAAACCCTTGGGACAAAAACACTGGCATTAGAAGTTATCACGCATCGCTGTTATATTTTACACTGAATTCAAATTTCATGCAGTGCGTTTTGGAAGCCATAAGGGTTGTTTGGAGCTCGGTTCTTGCTGCAAATCTAATGACCTAAAACGATATTGAACATGTCAGAAGCGAGTAAATCGACTACGGTATCGATTAAGAAAGACTGGTGGATTCAGTTCCAAAATGCGTCTCGGCTTTTTGATTTGGAACGGCAGAGACGCGCGAACCGTTGTGCGGAGGAAGGTCAGTGTATATGAGCAGAGCATGTTTATTTTTCTTTCATCTAATGTATAGCTTTCAGATTTTGACTTACAACGACAGGAAACCATGCTAATGTTTCTTAGTCGTTATCTTATGTTTCGTGAATTCGTTAGATAGGGCTGTACTACTATTTTCAAATAAAACCAATTGTATAGTTGAGAACTATATTGCGCATATTTAGATTCAATTTTCTAATCATGTACGTTATATCGTTCGCTCTGTAGTCATAAGCTATATATTTCACTGTTTGTCTTCATCTATGACCTTTATTCCAAAAATATACCATATGAACCACGCGTTATACCGCACTAGGTCTTGAACAAATGTAATACCATTTAAACTTGTGTTTTGCAGAGGAGATGTTTCGCGAGATGGATAAACTTAACACCAGTATCTCAGCTTTGTGGTTCAGATCAGCTGTCCTTGTTTCATACCTATCAACAGTGACCACTTTGGCCTTAGGAGGCGTATACTTCGGTGCGTAATTTTTTTTTTATCATAACTATTTCTTTAGTTTTTTTTTTTTAATTCTGGTACATTCTTGCATGCATGTAGTTGACCGTTTTACTAAGCCAAAGTGCAAAGCAACAACCTGCGTCTGTATATATCGTAGGAGAAAGGTTTCCTCATTTATTTTATCATCTACGATTTATGTTGTGATCCATGCATCGAAGAAAAATAAAAATTGAAAATTTGACAAAATGTAACATGTTATTCAAAATGGTGTTTTTCGTTTTCTTTCAACTGAAAAAATATGTGGGTTCTTAGTTTTTCTAACTTAGTGTTCTTAAACTATTTTCCTTACAATGGGTCTACTTCATAAATTATTAACGTCACTAAAAAAAATCACATTTGCCAGCAGGCAGCTGCCAGTAGATATATCAACTTAGGCTTCAAAGTCAAAACCCATTAGTGTAATGAGTTGGAAAAATTAAAATCAAATATAAAGGAAATTTTCATTGATTAACAAATTAAAGATATGGGAAAAGTTTTCAGATATTTCAGTGTTCAATAATTAGGACAACAGGGACCTTAAGCAACGACCACGACGACGACAACAGCAACGTCAAAAAACAATTGTTTTTATGTGCAAAACAACTGCTCTTTTGCTCACGCTTTTTAGTACATTTCTTTGACGTCCGCTGCACGACTACGACGTGAAGCCTCCCAATGCGACGTTTCATGGAGGACGTGGACATATGAAGACAAATTTTCCTTTCTCTATTTGAGCATTGATAAAGTCCTTAACATTTCAACTCCAGGAAAAGTCGCCTACATTTGTCGAATTGAGCGGTTCCAAATAGACGCGTTAAAGATTGAAAGGACGCAAACTCATTTTTTAGTGATGTTTTCACTGCCGTCGTCGTCGTCGTCGATGCTTAAGGTCCCTATTTGCACGATGACGTCATACTACGACCAGCAGAATTTTTCAGTTTGTTGTTTTTTTGTGCAGTCTGGGGCAATTTTTCTAAACCTCAGCCAAGGTTGAAAAGATCTGTTTACCGTACTAGCGCCTAGAACGAAAACAAAGACGACCGGAATTGAGTTGACTCACACATGCATTATTCCGCCTGCTTCGGCACTTGTCTTCGTCGTGCAAGAAAAATGTCGTTCTCGCTAGAACGTAATACGAAAGCAAAACGAAATGAACTCGGGTAGTTGCACTGTGTAGCCAAATGTCGTCTGCGTGAAAACACAGGCGTCCCGAACTCAAGTCCATCCTCGGAGACTCAGGGACAGCCAGGCGGGTCGGGAGAAAGGGCGCGACGAAGGTTTTCAAGTACGGGCGAAAGAGCCCCTGGGTACCGACTCTCACCGAGCTATTTCCAAAAATTCAAGCGGATGCCGGCTCCTGATTGGGTACAAAAAATGCTTTGTATTTTTGTGCCCAATCGGCGAACAGTTTCTCCTAAGTTCTTTTCCTGAGTTCGTACACGACGGCTATTGTCTCGATCACGGCTTGTCTGGCTCGTGCACCAAAGAAATGCAAGCAGTCAGGAAACTTTCAGTTTGATATAAAATCCCCATAAAATACCGCGAGAGCGAAAAACTGGGATACTGAAGAAGGTGTATGACTGTATTAAGGCACTGACAAAAAGATATCATTGAATACAAACACCATAGGGTTTTTTCCACAAACTTGAGAGTTATACTTGGAATCTGAGTTCATGTTTAATTCCATCTTCTCATTTTGGATGATGGTGAGACAGGCTAGGCTTAAAGGTTATTCTTGAGCAATTATAAAAAAGAACAGACTTGAAGCTCCGTAAAAAGTTGTCATCTTGCTGTTTACAGTTTATTGATATGTTTATTATAATACAAGTAAAAGAAAGGATCAAGGTCCGGTTCAAACGTCGCATTTTACATGTACCGAATCTATTAGCATTAAATGCGGTATAGGTGAAACGCGACGTTTGAACCAGGTCTGTATTCTGTATTCTATTTTCTCCAGTTTATAGTACATTATTACATCAATTAATAGTAATTTTATAAATTGAATATGTTCCTAAATTGGAGAGGGACACACCTGGAATAATTAATGTTGTGCCCCGCAGTTGTTATTACGATAACGGAAAAAATAAATACGTAGTTCCATCACTTAAAGGAAGAAGATTACCTAGAATAAAATTAATGTAGTATAAATAAAATTTGAAAGAAAGCAGAATAGATATAATTAAGTACAATTTATAAAATTATATGAGCATTACTACTGAGCAGCATAAAAACGTTTCAGTGTTCTTTTGACCGGGTCTAATTATATAAAGCAAACTTTTTTTCTAATTTCGAATACGTACATTGTAAATGTCGTAAAAAAAATAAACTGAGAAAAGACAGACAAGAAAAATGAAGCTGAAGACATTATTCGAGGCGTTTCGAACACTGTTATCAAGAATGAAAACCGTAATTAAGTGTCTTGATAATGATGTTCGAAACGTCGAATAACTTTCCTCAGTTTAATTTTACATTTTAAAGGCTTAAAAGACTAAGCATCCGATCTCTTAAAAGACAGAATGGTTTTTTTGAGTATTGAAACTATTCTTTTCCCTTAATTTAGTACTGTCGACCGTAAATGGAGTTCCATCAGCGTGCAGACTTGCGGTAAGATCAGTTTTTGTCTCAAGAATGCTTCTATGTTCAAGTAGCTTGCTTAATAGTATATTCAAAGGCGAACCCGGCGGTAAAAGCTTTTAATTTTGTAGCGCTGGTACAGCAGACATATCTATAATGGTTGACGTCATCTGCGTTTTTAATGGGAACAAAAATAGGTTATACGTGAAACTTTAAAATTGCCCCTGGGAACAGTTTTGATTAACGTAATGGGTTCTTTTAAGGTACTTTATCACAGCTTGCTTTTCGTAGTTTTTCCTTTTTATTTTGCGGTTTGGCGAAGACTTGATTTATGCTTACAAGCTCTTCAGTTTCGTCAAGTTTTAAAAAGAGCAGGGTCTGATCGAGCGTATTTTGAACTTTATCTCTTTATGCTTTAAAATTCAAATTTATGGTAAATTTGTAAACATTTCTTGTGCTTGAGTCAATGTATGTCATTATAAAACAATTTGATTCTCTCTCTCTTTTTTGTTTGTTTGTGCTGTATCGACCTCTTTCCCCTAGTCAAGGCTCAAAATAACGGACAGCAGGTCGCCGGTCATGATGACCGGCCAAATATTTTTTAGCCCGGACAAACCCCGATTTTGGCCGGTCAAATTAGTGAATATTAAGATTATTTTTTTGCCCATGGAATATCGAATTACGCTGGCAGTAGATCGCTGTACGGCATTGTCGTTCAGGTTTTTGCCGGCAAGTTGGTGAAAAATTCATTCACACGTTGTTGAGTTCCTTTCCGCGATTTTCGCCCGTTTTATGTCCGTTTATATATACCTTCAGTATCATCGTACGGCGATGTCAGAAGTCTCCAAGGTTCGTGCTATATCTGCATATCGGTGAAACTTGATCCTTTTCGTTGCCCGGCACGTGATCGAAAGTCTCCTCTACAAAGAAGAATTTCGTCGCTAAATATTTGCGGCAAAGAAGTTGATTTGGCGAGAAATTTGTTCCACAAACAGCGTATTCGTCATCAGAAGTCAATAAATATACAGCAGAGCTTTCGTTTGGGTCGTCGCGCAACACTTAATCGCGAACGGCTTATCAAGAAGGAGGATTTTAAGCGCCGAGATAGGCGACGTTCGTTCTCTATTAGCTTAGTTTTTATCAGACAATTCTGGAATCGAGTCTGCAAACGAGATCATGTTGGACATAAAGAAATTATTATAATTAATCGATGCGCTGAAATTTATTCCCAGAGAAACAGTACAGGACGAGCGATCGATTGGTCCGAATTCCGTCGAAGGTGATTTTCATAATCCTCTTACAAGTAGATGTGAAACGTTTCATGGACAAAAACTCTCACTCATCCTTTAGTTTTCTAAAAAATAACGGATTATTGTTAGCGTATGTTTTCCCAAAGAAGGTCACATTACTGATCATAGCAAAGCAGAACGTTTTTCTTTAAAGGGTTTAGTGCAAAGCAGCAAAAAAAGACAAAGAAAGCAGCGAATTACAGCGTTATAGAGCAAAACGCATTAAGCGACAAGCATCCAAAAATGACCGGTCAAAATGACCGGTCAGACGAGAGTTTGACCGGTCAAGCCCACGATCAGACCGGACATTGTCCGTTGACCGGCCGTTATTTTGAGCCCTGCTAGTCCATTTCCACTCTTGTCGATTCGCTCGTTTGATTTCTTATTTCCTTTCAGATCTGCTAATCTGTCTTTTCTTTTAAGAGGAGGTAGCGTGGCCCAGTGGTTAGAGCGCTGGATTTGCAATTCGGGTGCCCCGAGTTTAAGTCCCGGATTTGTCGTCGGTAGTCCCTAGTTCGAATCCTCGGCCGCGCGTGTAAAATAGCCCGCTGCTTTGCCTCCTACCGTTCGGATTCTTAACCCTGCTCGGCCCTACTAGCATTAGTGCTATAAATAATGCCGAGGGTAAAGAACAAAATTCTTTATTTGTATATTTATATTTTATTTATAGCATGTATTTATTCCCTTTTGTATTTGTTACAGCTCACAGCTATTTTAGACGCGTGCTCCTCAGCGGTGGTAGTCTGGCGCTTCAGGGGCAGAGAAGGCATTACATACTCTTATGAAAGGGAGAGGAAGTAAGCTTCATTCCTCTAATGTTTTTTTTAACCATTTTCAGACCGGTCTTTTTCGTTTTGTTCTCGTTTTTGGGTGGCACTATGTCAACGCCCGTGTTTGTATGTTCGTAGGTCCATTGCTATTAGGGTCTTTACGAAACTACGATGGCGACGGCAACGGGAACTTCAAAAAATAAATAGGTTTAATCAGCAAAACAACAACTCTGCACGTGCATCATGCTTTTTTGTCAATTTCTTTGCCGTTCTTGCACGACTATGACAGTGACATGGTCAAATTTTAAGTTTACCTGAGAACGGCAAGGCGATAAATTCTATCATCTCTGTTTGAACTCGGGCGCGGGTCCCCTCTCTTCAGTTCCAGAAATTCCTTTCTTTTCTTTTTAATATGGCGGTTTGGGATAATTTCTTAACAGTTTCAAAGGATAAGAAGCCTATTTTTCTGCGACGTTTTCATGGACGTCGCCGTTGTCGGGTCGTAAGGTCCCTATTGTTCTCGTAGCGCACGGCGATAAAGCGTAACCTTCGGAGTAAAGATACCGGGTTCGATGCCTGCTATCGCCCTTTTTCTTTTTCGACGAATTTTAATAGACTCTCTTTTTACGGCTTGATTGACACAATGACGTAAAGTGAGGTCATTATTAGTAACATTATTGGCAGTTCCACGATGACTTTAAAGTGTTCCCAGATAACCAGGAAGTCGCTAGGCCTGGTCAGGAGCCGATTACTTAAGTAATCGGCTCCTGGCCTGGTGGTCATAGCTTAAACGGTTATTTAACTGTTAAGCGATGGGGGGCCTCAAAAGCCTCCCCCGGCCTTCTGAACAGGGTTAAGCTTCAAAGTCCTAAAATAAAAGCGTTTTAATCACCATTTTTATGTTTGTGTTGCAGAGCTTGTATCGCAATCGGCCTTTGTTTTGTCCTCTCTGGCCTTATTGTTCTGTCCATAGCAGTCTATATGCTGAGCATAGACCATGAGCCAATTCGGGTAGGAGAAACTTAGCCAGCGTAGCAGGCGCTAGGAAATAATGAGAGCAAGAGTTGCGCCCATTATTTTCTAGCAAGGATAGAAAGATAGAAGTCTTTGTTAAGACGTCAGTCACAACATACGTGTGGTTTTACAATCAATAACGAACTAAGCTAAGATAAAAAACCTTTCGTATGTATTACGAAATTAAAAATAAGTTGAAAGATATTAAGAAATAAATTTTAAAAGACATCTATTGACAAAAGCTCGTTTCAATCGTTCCGTTATTACTGACTCCGTAGGGAGTATGAAGTCATGACCCCTTTCTCTAAGAACCCTATTACGTTTGGGTGGAAACAAGTCATACAATACATGACCAGTGTCACGTGTGATTCTGCTGAAAAGATCACTGTCGATAAAATAATCTTAGTTCAGAAATCAAAATGATCTTATTTGTGTAGCCAAAACGAGAGGCTCACCTTTGTCACTGATACGATCTAAATATAACATTTATAACATATAGGAGAAACTATCTACTTTATTACTTCTGTTCACAAAACGTTAAGCCGGTTCCTGCGAGAGAAATGTTCCTCTCTACACACCTATCTCTCTTCAATGGCTATAACTAGATACGAAATTAAAGAAGCCGCGCGAATCTTTTTTTATTGAATATGGATGGCAAAAATATTAGATCAGTTGGTAGCCTAACAAATACTATTGAGTTTCTGGCGAGAGGGCTGTTAACTTGCAATTCCCCCAAGTTTGACTATAAGGTGATCTGGGCAGGCCTAGATCAGTCGGTAGAGCGCTGCCGGACTACAGAGAGTGAAAGATATCGCGGTTTTCCGAAGCAGGATCTTAACAATGAATAACCGAGAAATGAAACAACTGCCGTTTACCCAGAAAAATGATTAAACTTTCCCGAGGACGACGAATGACGACGTGGAAATGGCAGTAGGGTCTCCATACCATAGTATCGTGAAAATGTTTTTATTATTTTTTTACCCTAACTGTTCTAACTCTTTTTCAGAACACACCGTTGTTAATCACTACGTTTGCAATTTTCGGTCTGATGGTGTCATTAGCTTGGTTCAAATACCACATCGCCTACAAAGTAGACAGCAAAGCCCTAAGAACAGACGGTAAGTCATAGTCCGTTACGGTACTCCCTTCAGTTGCACTGAGTGGGGTGGGGTGGGGGGGCTTGTCTTCTCTCTTCAGGGCATTAATTGCAGATTTTATCACTGCTTATTCGTTGACTTTGCCTCATATAAGGGAATACGGATTCTGGAATCCAAGAAATTTTTGCCTGTGGAATCCAGAATCCAGGAAAATTTGCTTGTGCAATCCGGAATCCTGGGCTTTGGAACCTGGAATACAGCCCAAGGAATCCGGACTGATTCACACTAAGGATTGCAATCCGGAATCCACGGTGTGGAATCCAGAATCCAAGACTGTCTTTCAATCCCTTGCATATGGCGATTAACTGTCTTCCTTACTCTTCCCTGCCCTCTCACAGTGTCAGCCTCACCAGTCCCTTAACCCTTAACCCTATTCATTTCCTACAGAAGTAGTGGGGAGAAGTTGATCAAATATCAAGCAAATTCATCATGTGTAATCACGACCACTCTGTTTTACAAAGCATTGATATTACAAGGAGAAATTTGATACTGATCACTCTTAAGGCTTAAAGGGTTAACTTGCTTGCCCTTTTCTTTCCTCACACCGTACGTTACCGATAACCTGACTAGAGGTAAAATAAACAACTAACAACTGCATTTTCCTTTGTATTTATTTGCTGCAAAAGTACTGGGAAAAACGCAGAACATGGTATTTCCGAGCCCCTAATTTTAAAAAATTTTATGGTAGAGCATGCTTCCAGACCTCCTAGATTGGAGCACCTTTCGCGTTCCAACTTTTCTTCTCGTGCTTACACCTTCAAAATCTCACCCTGCGCCCCTGAGGACTCACGCTAAACTCTAGCTCTATTTTGTTTATCCGGGACCGTGTATCAACGTAACTATTTATTATTTCTTCCAACAGCTTTTAACTCGACAGCAGAGGCCGTGATGGCTTTTGTAATGGCCATGAGTAATCTCATCTACGACGAGAATCCTAACGTCTGGTTTTTAGATGCTTGTGCTTCTATCCTTATTGGTTTTGTTCTATTTATTTATGGCGTCAGGTAGGTGCTGTTCTTTCAAATGAACTTTAAACTTACCTGATAATATACGCAGTCGTAGTACCACGTTGCCGGACAAAGAAAAGGGACCTTCACCCCCTCACAAACGGACGCAACATTGTTGGCCAACAACTCCCAACATTGTTGGATGTTACATGTTGCGTCCGTTTGCACACCATGTTCCATGTTGTTGTGTATTGTTGGGAGTTGTTGTTGCGCAAAGTTTGAAACCGGTCAAACTTTTGAGCCAACAACTCCCGACATCTCACGCGTGTGTGGACCTTCTACAATTTGCACGCTCGCTCTTATTGGGTACTTTGAGGTCACATGGCATATGATTACGAATGAAGCTGTTTCCCGCCAAAAGTCTTTGAGGGAGTATCATTGCACAATCTATGACGTGAGGGTACAGTGCAATGTTAGCCGCGAATTTTGACCGCTCGCTGACTAAGTGACTAAGCCCGTTATGACATACTGGTCTCTCTGGAAGCTAGTTAATTTAGTTTCCCTCGAATCTCGATGTTTCCCTGCGAATTCTCGAGAAGAAAAGTAATCGTTTCATAGCAGCAGATACGTAAGTGCAAAATTATTGTTCTAATAATATTAATAATTAATCTAAACACAAACAAACGTTGAATCCATGTTAACATTATGGTTATTACTGGCCATGATGTTTTACCTCTTGCCTTCTGCTTTACTTCAAGTTAAAAGCGACAAGTCGATTAATATTTTTACAAGAAAATTTATTTATTTTGCAGGACTATATTATATCTTCTGCTTAAAACAGAATATACATTAACTCAGATCAAGTAACTAAGCAATGGTTAATGTACAGTTTTCCCTGTCAAAACGCAGCACGGGACTGGATCGAAAGGTTTGAGTAAAAAGTGCCTTCAAACTACTAAATACCTACCGTATCTGCAATGATACAGCTGTTATCTTGTTACTGATCTGGACAGGTGGTCCTAATTTTACAGAACAAGGTTAAATGACTAATTTATTTTTTTTATAAAATAACCGTGTACATTAGAAAGCTAAGATGTAGATAATGCACAACTCGTTGTTGACTTAACTCAAGAAGATTTTTGCTAAATATTTAAGAGTTAAAATTTCTGGTACCCGGTCTTTTATTAATATAATAGGTATGTCGAATAAATCTTAAAGAAATAGTCGGATTAAAAGGCCGCAATTCCGCTTTGAAATTGCTTCGGAATTTTCAAAACCGATAGGCGAATCTTGTTTACAGTTTTTGCCTCATTAACATATACTTATCATTATCTGATAACGCTAATAAAGTAAAGTGCCCGATTATCGAGAGAGCATAACAATTTCAGTTATCTCCTAAACGTTTTAGCCCGATATAGCCAATAGTTTCGGAAAAATTCTCTTTGGAAAAACTCGAAAATTTACAAAGAATGCATGAGCTCATTCACGTTTTTCCCACCCAGCAATTTTTCGCAGGTTTTGATTGACGATATTTCCTTTGTTCATGTTTTCCAGGAACTGAAAATTTCACAAACTGCTCAACTTAACCAACTCTTTCACTTTTGAACCTATTTTGTATAGACGGCGACGTTTTCTAGAAGTTATCTTCTATGCTAATGCTAATGAGCAAAAACGTAAACGGTAAGGTCAGCGGGGATTCACCTGTTGCCCTGAGGTAAAGCGAGCTATGAACCCCAACTTTCGAGGGAAGTTTTCCTTAGCCTTTTTTTTTAACAGTACCCTCAAGGTGCTCTTTCACTAGACGCCGTTTGCTTGAAAAAGCATGGTCCTCTTAAGATTTAATTGTTTTTTTGCCGTCACATTATACCAAAGAAGTTATGAAACAAAATTCGTCGATCACTGCGTCTTAGGAAATAGCAAGAGGGGTATCTTAAGGAACCGATAGGGGCCATTTTTACGAGGAAAAAATAGGACGCGTCTTACATAAGACACGTGCTAAATAAGACGCAAAACGAGCATATCTTACCTAGGACGAAAGCAGGACGTATTAATGGTTCAAGTCCTCGTCACGTCCTATTTCTGTTCCTGGACTCGTTTTCATGAGAGTGTTGCCCGTAGCAACGTCAACCCAACATGGCGCGTGTTTCAAAGTTACGGCATCGTGTTGCGATTTGCCGCAGATTCCAAATTTTGCGGATCTTATTGATGAAGATGGCGGAGTCTTCGCTACTAAGCGTGAAGACCCCCATTTGCCGTAGAAGAGTTGAAAATAATACTCTTTTGGAGAAATTCGAGAAAGACGGGAAGAAGGCGATAGACCGACTGGTTCGAGCGGGACTTTAAAGATATTTCGGACGCTAAATTTGTTGCCAACTTTAGAACACTATGCGTTTGCGTCTTATATAAGACGCGAAGGTTTTCTCGTCTTAGCTAAGAAGCGTCTTATTTAAGAACAAGTGTTAAGGGTTATTCTCAGATAAGCGCGTCTAGGCTACGCCTCGCTTATTTCAGACGAAATGTGCCGTTTATACGGGAATTTTACGGCTTGTTTAGGACGCGTCTTATTTTTCCTCGTATAAATGGCCCTATTACGTTGATACTAATCTACAATTAAATCTTGCATCATAATTGATAAACCGTACCTTTTTTAAATTACTTACTTCTGCCGAAACCAAACCGGAGGGAGATTTAAATAGACCGTAGGGGTGGATTTCCACTGTCGCGAAATTTTTAGGTACGTTAATAAAATAGAGGCAACGTTTACGTTAGACTTTCCATACATTGCCTCTATTATATTTATGCGCTTAAAATTTACGTGTGTACACATGGAAAAATTTTGCGATAGTGGAAATCCACCTTAAATTCGAATTCTCGGAAATGAACTGGAATTAGCTTGCAGTCGGGGTTAACTCGCAGAATATCATTAAAAAATACTTGCAAGCCTTGTGGAAGAATTCTTCTGAACGAATTCCTTGACTTCAAGCTGGTTCCAGTTAATCGACGAAAAGGATGAGATTTGATCTATTAATCGACAGACGTAAAAGGTCGTCGTGTATGTTTGTTAAAGAGAATGTGGCCTCGTATTAAAGTCTAATTTAATAGAAAACGTGGACATGATCATTTTCATAGCTTTTATATTACCTTCTTCTTCTGTGTAAAGATAAACTTTGCAGTAATTAAAACCTAATAATTATGCAGATTTAGCCACGCCTAAGAGCTAAGCTACTTCAACCATTGCATGCAAGTAATTTACAAATCTATGGAACTTAACTTAAACTTACTATTACTAATATTGCGTTAAATGATAACAAATTTTGATATGATGGATGACTTTGTCCTAATACGGTAAACAGTCAATAAACTTTGTTAACAAAATATTACTACAGTCTTTTTTTAAATTTCTGCTGTGCATGTGTATCCTTGCACCGCACGCAAATTCGGATAATTTACACTAAGTAATTTTCAAAGAGTTTAGTTCTAAACGTGGAGTAAAAGTTTTAGATTTTGAATAATAGGTTTTGGGGATCGTTTTTACCCAATATTTTTAAACACCTCTTATTACCAATGGAGTTCTTTGTACCTTTCCTTTGGAGTCATTTCAACTCACTGGAAAATAAAGACGACCCCATCTTATAAGAATAATCAATTAACTCTACCTCAAAGGTTACTTTAACTCTTCAGAAAACATTGTTTTCACCTACCTTAATTCTTAACGTGGAAATTGGTCTCAATTTTACAGATTAATGTCTCTTAGTAGAATAAGCAAAGATTGTTTATTGTCCAGAAAAGATACAAAAGGAAGTCTGATTTCTTTGTGGAAGGACAGACTGGCAGAAAGACACATCTTTTTGTATGGCATGTGGTAGTTTGAGGTTAACGACGCTTATTGGCAATTGAAATCATTTCGACGAGGCGTTTTTTGTCACTGATTGAATTGCAGCGCGCGAAACGTCAGGGGATTGTTAAGATATAAAACACTTCTCTTCATAACGAACTGAAACATCTGAATATTTTAAGTGCTTACAGTATTTGACATCGCTGTAGAAGGACGAGCGATTCAAACGAAATATTCCATTTTCTTTCAAATTTGTATGCTAAATAGTTTCTTCGATTGATTATTCTTCAGACTCTTCACTGTTGCAAAAGTCAAATAAAGTGGAATAGTTGGGAAACCCTTTGTTATAGGTTTTTGTTAGCTTTTTTGGACCTGGTCGCGCACAGCGTTCAATAGCATTCCTATCATTTTCAACTCAGTTATTGACCAATAGAAACATTGCGTTAATATATTCAGTCATAATTTGTGAACGGAAAACAAAGGATTGTGCACGGTCATGGAGATTCCAACATAAACTACAGCACCATTGTTTTCAACTTTGATGTTTGCCGGCTTTCCTAACCAGTCTCCTCTAGCTACGAACTATGCTTAAAGTAAAGCAAAGGTTGAAATTCGTTCATGATACAACTGATTGTGCGTGTCGTTTCATTAACACAAAAATAGTATGATCCATTAATTCAAAGTGGAAGGGCATTAAAGAAAAGGATCAACATAAGTTTTAGAAATAGTAAGTGCCGCAAATAATAGCTTTAGTTCAAAATTCTTTCTCGAAAGGGGGTGTAATGGTTATGCAATACCAAAGCATTTCAGTTTACCTAGTGTGTAGTAGCCTTCTTCACCTCCATGACCAGTGTCACCAAACCTGAGTTGTTTTACAGGAAGCTTTGACCTGTCAGTGAGGGGACCGCTGTCCCCGCGCCATTCAAGGTCATTCTTGTCACAGTTACAAACAGTATTGGGGTCTGCACAAGAGTTGGTCATCCCGCATGCGCACTTACCACTGCCAGGTGACGCTCCACCCCAATACGTCATTTTTTCAGAATCGCGTGACACCCACCATGAGTCTGCTTGATGAGGAAACCAGAAAATCGAGCCATGACACTCATACTTGATAAACTGCTCACATTGTAAGGAGACCCTGGTTAGATTCGCCAGCTGAGACAGATTCGCTCCAGTGTAATGAATGTCACGTGAGTAGCTACCTGGTCTTTCATATCCTTTAACATGTGTCCTGCTCTCACTGTCGTGACTAATAATTGTCACGCCAACTCCACTTTTATCGGTCATTCTCACAGAAAACCGAGAACGGTGCCAGGCCTCCTTCGCCATCTGGGTCAATGACGTAATTTCCGCTTACACTGCTAACGTATTTCTTTATCACAGAACAGGAAGTAGCAATCGGAGAATTTATTTTAACTTTAGCGTCTATTGTGGTCAGGGCATTGCTCGCCTTACAGATGTAAGATCCTTCTTGAGTTTTCTTGATGGTCTGAAGAACCAGTGTTCCATTCAAAAGAACATTGGAGTCCAACGAAAGCGTAGACTTCCCTTCCTTTCTCCAGTATGTTGTAGGACTCAGGTCACTTTCGGCCGAACATGACAAACGGAGAGTTGAACCAATGAAAGGAGTCACTTCCTGTGGAGGACGGACTGTGAACCGCAAAGGAGAAAAAAACATGAGCTGGACAGTGTCTGTTGCTGACCCTAGAATACTCTCTGCTTTACAAATGTATATACTACCTTCTTTTCTAGTAACATTGTAGATTTTCAGGGTTCCATCCTGCGCTTTAATCCCGTCTCCAGCTAGACTCCCGACTAACTTGGACCACGTGATCAGAGGCGAAGGCCGACCAGTAGCATTGCAGGCGATACTGACGTTTTGTTTCTCTTCAGCCAGTAGTCGCTTAGATGATAATGAGACATGCGGACCAACTAATGGGAAACAGAGAAACGTATGATTTTTGCAAGTAAAACGGGCATTTTGGGGCTTTCGTTTAGAGAACGTAATGTAAAACAAATTATTGATCCCAGAACATTGAATTATTTCGTTTGGTAGCCCCGCTTGTTTAAAAGTTGGAGATTGCTACCCATGGGGTAAGTCACTATTTAGTAGATAAGTACAAGCGAAACTCGGTATTTCATTATCAGTGGACAGAGACTTATCTAACAGCGAAAAGTGATATATGCCTTTGAACAACTGACCATTTTATGTACAGAGACCGCTAACATGATTCAAAGCATGAGATACTGCTATTGCTGTAAGAAAATACACGAAGTACGTTAAAGGTTTTCAGCTTTTTTAGGAAATAAACAGTTGAACTTACATTGTACAGTGACGTTCAAGGAAGCGTTAACGCTCCCGAGTAAATTTTCGACTCTGCAGTTGTAGACCCCCTCGTCCCCAGGCTTAACGTCTTTCAACATCAGCGCACCACTGGATTCTACCACGTGACGTCCCACAGGAAGTCGCCCATCCATCTTAGACCACGTGACCTTTGGTGGTGGATTACCATCTGCTGAGCATTTCAAGATGGCCGTGTGACTTTCATTTACTATCACGTCAACAGGATGCTCCAGCAGAGAAGGAACCGCGAGAGACTGGCCCTGCTCTCCTTTGGCTCCTTTTTCACCGGGAGCGCCTTTAGGGCCCATGGGACCAGGGTTCCCCGGCACTCCGAGGTCCCCTTTTAAGCCCACGGGTCCAGGAGGACCTGGAGGTCCTATTGGTCCATGTTTACCAGGAGGTCCTTCTGGCCCTGAGTTCCCTTGGGGACCTGGTCTCCCTCGGGTTCCGGGTCTTCCCCGTCGTCCCGTTTTACCTCTTGGTCCTGAGCTGCAGAGGGTTTCATCCTTAGCACAGACTTGGTTTTGCAACAGGCGAAGCTCTTCTCTGATCAGCTGTTTTATTTGAGATGCATTTTGGAACGATTTTGTTTGTGAATGATCGCGTGAAGCTCGCTTCTGTCTGGAAGTAACAACACAATTCTTATGAGGATGTAAGAAATTAATCATTTGTTGAGAAATTATGTTCCCCTAGCTTACTGGCGTCGAACCTGTGATATTCTGGTTACTTATTCAAATTCTCTACGTCAAAGCTACAGGAGACAAATGTAAGCTAAGGCCGTGCATTTAACAAGATGCATGTGATAAACATGCTGCATGTTGCAAGAACTCGACTGGAATATCCATAGGGGTCATATGCGCTATGATATAAATGTGATAGTGAATTTTAAGGCTAACCCATAAAATAGGGAATATTATGAAATGATTCGGCTCCATTTCAAAGTCATAATCATAAGCTGATTAGGTTATCAATTGAATAAGTAAAAGCTAAAAAGGCAGGCTAGCCATATTCTAGGCCAATATTCTTCCCCACGCATCCTGTGCTAAAAGACCCTATGACAAGTAAGTTAATCGCAAAATAACGCTCGACCCAACTTTCCACTTTCTTAGTTCGACTTAGAAGTTCTACATCGTTCACCCAAAATCAGAAGTGATCCTTACAAAGCGACCAGGCCTCTTAGTTCGGGTAACAGTATTCCTTAACTCGTCCTCAGGGTCTTCTTTTCTATTCCAATATGGAGAAGGCATGAGCCACCATGTTGAAAAACGTGGAAGACTTTGAGAACGCCAGTTGCTGGCCTCCTTTCAAATCATAAAATTATAATACTTCTATTACTTGTCTGAACTGCTCCTCATTATTCTCGTTGCAACAATTCCTCAAATTTCTAGCTGTCATAGCTTGCCTTTTTTCGTAATTCTTCTGCACTTTACGAAGGATTTTTGTTTCCATTTGATCACAGAATGTCACTGAGTGTGATATCAGTAGATCATGTTCTTGAATTCTAAATTCCACGTGAATTAGTGCTATGCAACACATAGCAGACAATAGCAAAGCTGACGCGGAAAAGCTATTGAATGTTTTCTTTTTGTTTTTCATCGCTTCCTCTTTCTTCATAGTTTTTTCGCAGACATAAGGCAAAGAAGGCTTCTATTTAGATCGTTCTACAAACTGAAGTGATCAGGCTGATCAGGATCCGTGTGAGAGAGGAGGGGAAGTCATATCACTAATAAACTTCCTTACTGTAACCTGAACACTGCAAGGAAGTTAAATGCGAGGGAATAATTTCCTTAAAAACAAAATGATATTTCAGAGCAATCTTGGCGAAATTCCGACGACTTTACCTCCCTAAGAGCTTAAGGGGAAATCCTTCCCTCGTGATCCTTTAATATTTTGTTCTTAGTCAAACTGAAAAGCCTTAAACAGTGAACTTATAGGTTCAGAGCTTAATAAATTTAACTATAAAAGGGTACCTTGTGAGAGCTGAACACCTGGGACTCGAATTTCAAAATTCTTTTTCAGTGATGTATTATTATTATAGTATTATTATTATTATTATTATTGTTATTAGTAGTCTTTAGATAGTCATTTTACAACAATTCTCTTTCGTAGACAAGAAAAATGTACATAGGGTATATATTTTAATATTTCATATTCTTGAATCTGTAAATAGTCTATTTTTTTTTAAATCTATGAATAAAGTTTTGTTTTTATTATTATTGTTATTATTATTATTATTATTATTATTATTATTATTATTATTATTATTATTATTATTATCTCTTCCTTCGTGTGAGTGCCTCTTCTTAAGAAAGGTACGGAGCCAACAACAACACAAAGAGATTTTTTAAAATCCGGATAAAATTGAAAACTAATAAAAGCTTTCGACCCCAACTGAAACTCTTATTTGTTATTTTTTCACAGGTATGGACGCCTTTTAGCCCAGTGGTGGAAAGTTAAACAATCTGTTATATTTATGGAAAGCTCGTAATTACTGGATGTGAAATAAAAACAGTTATATGTAATTGTGAGAAAACAACATCTGCTGTTCGACTTAAACATGATTGCAATTAAAGTTTCCTTTATCAAGGTGTGAGCAAATATAGAAGGCCAAGGGAAGCTTGAAATGACCAAGCTCCGTACCAAAGATGCTCTTTCAGGTAAGTTAAAACTTGTTGTAATCACTAAAAAAGTTAGAGGCAATAAGATACAATGATATAGAGAGGCAGTACGATAATTCAAGAACAAGAGGTCCGATGACAAAAGAGAACTTATTTGTTGTCAAAACGTTCATTTATGCATTATACTTACACTTCCGACTTGAAAAATGTTTATAGCTATCGTTTAAGTTTTATTTCAATATAGTGCTCGTTTTTTGAACATCAATAGCGCGGCCAGTTTACTATATTAGACAATTTTTGTTCACCTGTATTACAGAATCGAAGTCAGCGTCAGATCAGCTCCATTTTAGAAATTCGGACCACGAGACGTATTTTGACAAAAAAACCAGGTGTACGATCACAAATTTAAGCGAGCTATTGCTAGGACGGTGAAGTGACCACACTATTTATTTTGCGATATTATAATCCATTGATTTTTGCTACGTACGATATATGACGTATATCACTTTCAAAGTGAAGGCAAGCTATTCCCCGATGAACTAAAAAGGACTTTCGAGAGGGGTTTAAAAAAAACGTTACAAAAAAATTTTCTTTGAATGTTTTATTTAAAGATTAAATTGCTGGACCTTACTAAGTCCTTTTCACGTGATCTCATGTTTTCACGTCTCTAGGAAAGAAGAATATTTGCATGTGATTATACAGACATTTTTTCTCTGACACAATCCCACGGCTCATTACCTTCTTATTCTGGAGACAGCCACAAACTTAAAAAGGGGTCGAAGTTATTACGTTCAAGAAACTGCGTTCTTTATTTACTTCATTTATTTTTCTCTTTTTAGGGGTATTTCTTTTTCTGGAAAAAAAATGCTTTAAATATTTGCAATAGAGTACTAAAGTGTGACGTCATAAAAATGAAATTTCTGAAATTATGGGATTTGTCAAGATATTCTGAAAGAACAATGTCCACGAGGCCTACTTGCCAAAAATAAGCATTTTGGGGGCAAATTGTCTCTGAGATCGTAGCCCAGTTATGCTTACAAAACTCCATACAAACCCTTCTAAATTTTTTTGGGGTCGACCCAAAACTACTGTCCGTTTTCCATACAATGAGTTCGTTCCGACCATGGGGTTCAAAAACGTCGTCGAGCTGTCAAAAATCTGTTTAGGACTCCACCTCTCTATGAATTTGATACTCTCGGTAATTGATTCCGAGGGAGAATAGCGCGTGTTATTGTCTACACTTGGCTTCGAACCTTGACGCTGTATCCAGAAATTCTAAAGCAGTTTTTGGCATTGCTTCTCTGTGAGATGTAGTATATAAAGTGGAGGATCAAAAATGAGTGGAAGTGAAAGTACGCCAACAAACCCTGTGCCTGCTCCTCGAAGGGGGAGCAAGCTGAAAGAGCCGAGCGCTTCGGATAAATTGTACAATTTCAAAACACAGTTCGGCAATTTTATGAGTCTGTATGAGTGGATGGATAAGCTCGGAAAATGGTTGTTGCGCCTACCAGAAAAGGATAAACGTTACCAAAGTTGGCCGACCTACTGAAAAACGAACTTTCGTTGTCCTCGAGGAAGGAGAATCTTTCTCCACAAGAGTTTTGCTCTCCGTGCGGAACAAAGGTTAGAAACTGCGCTGCGATGCTTTCCCAGGAGTCTATCACCACGTGCGGTACGGAATATCGCAAATGACTTGTTGAAAACATTACTTGACAGCTTGTTGACAGCTTGCATCGAAATTTAGCCAATGCGAATTGCCCGTGGCTCAGAGAAGCGGGTAATTCGAACAAAAATAACTTATGCAAAACGGACAGTCTGTATTTTTAGCGTCTCTCCCCAGATCTCGATCTCTGTTTTCAGCCTCGTTCCAGACCTTTTGTTTGACTAATCGCGCGTATTTGAATACGCAAAAATACGGACTGTTTTGCAGTCTACCTCTATCTCGGGAAACTAAATTTTCCTATAGCGAAAGAGGGCTTCTTGATGGGAATTAATATTTGCGATTTTCAGGAGGTAGTGCCCTCGACACACTAGTGAAACAACACGCAGGCCTGTTTCTATTATTTCCCTGCTTTCTCTGACGCTACAGTACACACTGCCATGTCTAGTCCCTGTACGGCGTCTTCCCACGCAATCTCGGTCAAGGCATTTCGGTGGCAAACTCGCTCGGACCACGTGACCCGAAACGCATTAGCCGCGCGGAATAATGAGGTCTAGGGACAAGGAAACGGCAGTCCTTCGTTATCATTAAAAACACTGGACACGGGAATTTTGTTTTTGGCCGTTTTCACACTAGAGCTAGAAAGGGATTATCCAGACTAGCCTGTGTACAGTCGCCCCCTCCCCCACAGCGCGAGACACCCCTTCTCTGATTTTTTTCTGAGGGAAGGTTGCTGCTGTACACAGGCTAACTGTAACGGATAATCCATCTTCAATCTGTCCTTCAAAATTGACGGATAAAGTCAGGGGGATTGTTCATTTAAAAATTAAAACTATTCCATTTTCAAATTGAGACGTATTACCCATCTGACGTGAATCATCAAACGGATAACCCGTCTCACACGAATAATCCGTCTCTAGTGTGGAATGTCGCGCCCCGGCCTTTAGTTGGCCGTTCGCGTGTCTGCTTTTGCTTTTGCTCGCGTGTCTGCTTACTATTGGCATTTCTATGGGTAAAATAATATTAGAAGTGGAATACTTTTAAAAAGTATGATCTATCAAATGTGAAAAATTTTCAATAGAATAGCTCAGTTTCATCCCGTGATGATCCAAAGACCTTTACATTGCTTTAAAGATACAAAAAACACAGGTTAATTAATATTTAACTTTTTGAAACAAAAGAAATTAATATTTAACTTTTTGAAACAAAAGAAATTAATTTTTAACTTTTTTGTTAACCGTAACTGAAAATAATTAACCGATAGCCGTAAAAGAGCCAAAATTTTAGCCGATAACCGTAAAAACCACCACCCCATTGAGACCCTCTTATAGGGGAGGGGGGGTGATCTTAGTAGTATCTAAATCTACCCGGTACCTTGCCTTGTATATAATAAACTGTTACAACTATGACGCTTGTAAACTCTATTGAGTTATTAAGGCGCCCTACTGGGTCTCTCCAGCTAGTTCAAATACAGTTATCATAGTGTAACTTTCCCTTTGTATTGTGTTCGTGGACGTAAAAACTCATTTACATAAATTAAAGGTTGCTGAACATGTCAACTTTCCCGTGGTACTTCAAGGTGCTCTTTCTTTTGTCACTAAAACACATTCATCATTTGCTGTAATAACAAAATTAAAAATTCTTCTTATTGACGGCAATGGAAAAAATTCGGAAACTCGTACTCTGTTTTACAATTTGCAGGAATTTTGGTTTCCTTGTGTATTCCATCTCTTCTTCTTCATCTATATTTCCAGATGTGACAAGAGCAACAAAACAGGTAGTTATTTCTATTGTTCGTTTCCTCATTTCGAGTGTCTTACTGGAGGTAGCTCCACTCTCACCGATAAACCCTTAAAAAGTGATACGTCTAGTTGTGGATAATCAACGTGCCAATCACAGTGCTAGCCTGAGAAAACAGGCGACATTTTGCGACGCCATTAACGGTTTCCCCGCGAAATGACGTCTGAGAAGGGAGCGCAGAAATTCCAAACTGATGATGCTTCTGGGGTCTGCTTCCAATTGGTTGAAGCAAATTTCACAAGGGGCACGACCAATAGAAGCAGTACCCGTACGAGGATTCTTTTAGGTGTAGTCTACGTGCCTTTGGCGCCAGTTTATTCAAGCAATATTGCTTTTAAACGTTTTGCATTAAATCAAACCCTGTGACTTGCAATTTGTTACATTGTCTAGTTTATAATTCATCGCTGCATACGAACACCAATAAGACATTTATTTTTGAAGGGTTTTCTAAGAGATAGAAATAAACGGCCTATAGCAAGTTGTGAAAAAAAACTTCTGTCCGCAAAGGATATGTTGAATAAAAATTAGAAGAATTCAAGGTCGAGACTGATCCAGTAAAAATTCGTTTTCAGTTTCGTTTAGCGGTCTTAAGTTTTTTTTTTTTAAAAAAAAATAAAAGACTTTTTTAAAGTTGTCACTACTCTTAGTTACTGAATTCAGATTTTCCAGGTACGTCGTAAGTGAAAACTGCAAATCAAAATTTTAAAACTTATCTCCCCCTTATAATTTCGGAAAATAGATTATTGTCATAGTTTAATAGTAAATTTTCAACTTGCTTGTCATGTGTTTTGTAAGACCCTAAAGGAGGAGAATTGCTCAATATTTAACAATTATTAAACGAGATTTAGCAAAATATCGAGATTTGTCAGTGCGAGCAGATCAAATATGCCGAATAACTGAGTTCAATAATTGTTTTATCATTCTATCACCGAGTTTGTTTTTTAATTATCTGTGAAGCGGCCTGCTCTTTTCACGCAAGAGCGATCCACAAGAAGGAGAAAAGCGTGGACCAAAATTTGCATCGAATGATAGGATTTGTTATTCGAATCGGCGTTAGAATCATTTAGCTTGCACAGCGGTTTAAACAGCCTCCCCTTCGCCTCAATTTAATGGTCATTCTAATTTTACAGACTCAAAAGGTAGAAGCAAATGTAGCCTGCGAGTTACCCACTTCTCTTTTAGCTAGGGACTGTATAGACCTCTTGGAGCAAGGCTTCAAGAAGGACGGCGTCTATCATATCAACCCTGACGACAGAGGGTCTTTCCATGTATTCTGTGACCAGACAACAAATGGCGGTGGCTGGATTGTCTTCCAGAAACGCTTCAATGGCTCTGAGGATTTCCACAGAAACTTGTCTGATTATAAAAATGGATTTGGGAACCTCAATGGGGAGTTTTGGCTTGGAAATGACCGCATTCATCGGCTTACTGACAGACACCACCAACTTCTAGTAGAACTTGATGGATTCAACAATATCACCGGTTATGCTCAATATGAAACGTTCAGTGTTGATTCTGAAGAGAACGGGTATAAGATTCACTTAGGACCCTACTCAGGTTAGTCAGTAATTAAAGCAAGGGAATACGGCATCAAATCTTGTAAAATATACAACACGGAGAAATTTATTTTCCTGCAGTTCTGAATAGTGCTATTGATGATGATGATGATGATGACGACGATTGTAGTGATGGTGATGGCGATGTCGATGGCCATGGTAATGGTGATGACATTTTGATCCGCTGGGCATGGCTATTTTGATGTTTTGGTAGTGGTAGTGACGGTTATGGCGATGGTGCTAATGATATTGATGATGATGATGATGATGATGACGACGATTGTAGTGATGGTGATGGCGATGTCGATGGCGATGGTAATGGTGATGATGATGATGGTAGTGGTGGTGATGGTGATAGTGATGATTATGGCGATGGCAATGGTGATGGCAATGGTGATGATGATGATGATGATTGTAGTGGAGGTGATGGCCAAAGCGATAGCGATGGCGATGGCGATGGCGATGGTGATGGTGATGGTGATGGTAATGGTGATGATGATGATGATGGTATTGGTAGTGATAGTGATGGCGATAGCGACGGTGATGGTAGTGATGGTGATGGTAATGGTTATGATGATGATGATGATGGTAGTGATGTTGATGGCAATGGCGATGGTGATGGAGATGGTGATGGTAATGATGATGATGTGAGATGATGGTAATGGTGATGATGATGATGGTAGTGGTGGTGATGGTGATGGTGATGGTGATGGCGATGGCGATGGCGATGGTGATGGTAATGGTGATGATGATGATGATCGTAGTGGTGGTGATGGCGATAGCGATGGCGATAGCGATGGCGATGGTGATGGCGATGGTGATGGTGATGGTAATGGTGATGATAATGATAGTAGTGGTAGTGATGGTGATGGCGATAGCGACGGTGATGGTAGTGATGGTGATGGCGATGGCAATGGCGATGGTGATGGTAATGGTGATAATGGTGATGGTAGTGATGGTGATGGCGATGGTGATGGTAATGGTGATGATGATGATGATGGTAGTGGTGGTGATGGTGATGGTAATGGTAATGATGATGATGGTAGTGATGGTGATGGCGATAGCGATGGCGATGGCGATGGTGATGGTGATGGTAATGGTGGTGATGGTAATGATGGTGATGATGATGATGATGATGATGATGTTAATGGTGTTATAAGTTTTTTTTCCATTTCAGGAACTGCAGGGGATTCACTACGCTATCACGAAAACAAAAATTTTTCTACAAATTTTCAAGACAACAATCACCAAGAACCCACCAACTGTCCCCAGCATTTCTTAGGCGCCTGGTGGCATGATAGGTGTAACCCTCTGCAATCAAACCTTAACGGAGGTTATTTCAAGAAAAATAGTGTTCTCTGGCTGAGCTTAAAGGGATATCGTAATTCTCTCAAGTCTACTTCGATGAAAATAAGAAGTGTTACAGGTGAGCCCATGCATTGCTCTAGAGCCGAGAATAATAAATCAGTGGAGAGTGGTACGAATAGCCAGGGTTTTTCATCTGCGTGAAGATGGATATTTGTGCCCGTTGAAGCTAGGGCCAGCATTCTGTTTTGAGCAACGTGCTTCAGTCTAACACAAAGAGTTCTGCTTTGTAGGTATTGATTGGGACTACTCCATCAATTTGCAAAGAAACATGATATTGCCGCATGCGCAGTTGGTAGTGGGATTGCCACTCAATCAACTGACGACTTGCTGGTGGATGAAACTGCTGACCAGTGAAGACAGACAGATTTTGACTGTGTTCTCTTTCGAGGACGCTCCAATGAACAGAATTGTTGCCCTCTCGATTCAGAGGAGCTCCTTTGTTGGTTTCACTTTTAACGCAACTCACAAGTAAGCAAGAATTAACAATTTCTGGTATTTTTAAGTTTCCTATTTCGTGACCTCAAAGCTGAGTTATTTGCAAATCTTACCTGTATTTTCTTTCCCAGTGACTTTCCCCTCCCAGAGGAAGAATTACACGATGATCACTGGCATCACATGTGTTTTAAAGGTGCAATTTTCATTGGAAACTGGAGTCTCTACATAGATGGTGTATTGACGTTAGAGATCACCGGTTACCCTAGTAACATTCCGATACAACGAGGCAGCATTCTACGAATTGGAGTTTTGTCTAACGAGAGCATGTATAGAGAAAATGAACTCATGGGAGAGTTGAGTCAGCTTAACATATGGGACAAACTACCCACATCTGATGAAATTTTCATGATGTCTCGTGGATGTCACACCAAAATCGGAAACGTGATACCATGGTCGGGGGTTCAGTTATGGCTTAGTATAAACGTCACTAAAACAACTCCAACATCGTGCACTGGGGCAGGTACATGTAACTCGGTGTTTTTTAGTTTGTTGTTGTGGTTTTTATTTCTATGCAACGTTAAATAAACAAGCAAAAAGATAAACACGACCAAAGGAAAGATATGCTTACTGATCGTGAAAGATAGCGGCTGAAGACTTTCTACAGTACTAAAGCTTTGGTGCAGAAAATCCGGCAGGGTTCCGGGGGACCCGCCTCCCCCCCCCTTGTTTTTAGGTCAAAGTGAAGACCGTAAGTCCCACAATAATCATTTTTAAAGGATGTTTCCTTCTCTTATTTTAGAGTGTTGATCGATGACTAATCCCACCTTTTACTAGAAAATCCGAATCCACCACTGCACGGGAAAGTACTGATAAGTAGCTTTCATTTGTATGATTAAAATTTAGAATTTCCTTAGACTTTTCAGAATGAAGCTATCAAGTATCATTTTCCAGGATTAAAGTCGTTTCTATTTTAGAAATAGAAACTTCATTTCACCTCACTTGGTTTTATTTCTTTAGCCTATTTACAATAAAATATATAAAATACTCGATCCCAGAACTGTAGATGCCCATGCGTAGACAACACAGAAGCCAATCAGTACCACAGTGGATCTCTGAGGGCTAGGCCTCTTGCACAAAATAAGCAAAATCATAAAAAATACCGTGATCTAGCACGTTCAAAGAGCACTAGATATATATTGGGAATAGTATATTAAAGCCATGTGTAGCAATGTTCATCAACTATTCACTAGATCATATTCACTGGACTTTGTCATCCACTGATAACTCTGCCATAACCGACGACACTTCTTACTGGCACGGTCACATTGTCGGCAGCGGCGTTGTCTTGGACTCAAAGGTTCTCAGCCTGCAGGGTGGAGGCCACGTGATCTTAGGAAGATTTAGCAATACCTGCCCTGGTAACCCCTCCTTGTGTGAGGATGGATATTCCGTCAGCTTCTGGGTGAAACAGGGAGGTAGGTTTAATGGTTGTTATTTAGCCTGAGGGCAGGGGCGGGGCATATTTGGCGGCGGAGCGCAGGCGCGAGCCGGTGAAGCCCGCGAGAAGAAAGCAAAAGTTTAGAAGTTTACCTCCTTCCTTATGTTAAGCCTTTTTTAGACTTTGTGTTAGACTTGTTCTCACTGCCCGAGAGCCTGGAACAGGCTATTCTCGGACGAACACGCAAATAGATATCTTTCCCTTACTGGGGGGGGGGCAAGGGACTGTTTGCGACAAGATCGTTAAAACATTAGAGATTGTGACAATGCTCTCCTGAGCCCTATGCGTCACCTAGACTGACTGCCCTATCTTAGCCGCCATCTTTTTAATTTAAACCTTGCACTAAGTTGCCTTGATTTAACCAAACAATATCTTTAATAATATGTTCCTCTCTCTCCATAAGTTAAATTTATCTCGTACATTCTTGGGGAAAACAAGAAATACCACGCAGCTCTAGAGACCATGGTGGCAGCTGTTACCCCAAATAACAGTAAATGGACGCGGTGTTACCATGCCAAATCAGATGGCTTCACTGCGCATGGCTTTCACTCACGGTGTGACAATAAAGGGCCTACTGTGACTCTAGTACAGGTCAGAGAATTCGTGTTTGGAGGATTTTTGGATCAGAACTGGGGAGGTAAATTAAACATATCAATTATTATTTTTTTTATTCACACGTGCCTCACAAAGTTGAGAATTACCTCCAGAGTGGCAGACGTCACGATTCTGCAGGTGTAAAAGAGGGTGGATGCGGGCTGCCCCTTGGTAGACCTGTGCACTCAGATAGCTCTAATTAAGTGGTTTTGAGGGGCCAATTCTATTGCCATGGTCAATCACAAAAGAGAGGCATGCTAGCTGATAAAATGAAAAGAGAAAACAACAATAAACATAATATTGTCCCTAGGGTATTTTTGTTTTCCAATATGGCGACGGCAGGAAGGAACTTCTTTCCTGCCACCGTCATGAAGACCCGGATATTGGGAAATCCCATGTGACATTATGCATTTGATTTTCTGAGCGCTGATTGGTGTAGAAAGTAGCGTTTTGTGGCAAAGCCAAAGCAACCAATTATTGCTTTAGCTAAATCATTTCAATTTAGTAAGGTAAAATTAAACATCTGAAATATTTTATCCCTGGCACTAAACTTTATCCATCGACAATGTATAATGTCATAAGTTTATCAAATACAACAATTTTATTATGTTTTTCTTTGCAAAAACCAGTCGGCCAGCCGTTTTTACTCCTTCCAATAATTGAAAGACCTTTGCCTATGTAAGGTCAACTGTGTTTTAACTTTCGATTGTTGTGTCATACTCCCTATAATATCTTTCTGCTCTGTTTTATTTAAGGTCCAAATATAAGAGCAATAGAGAGTGCTTCAGCTTTCTTGTTTAGCCTCAATAACGTGTTGGGACTGGCGCCTTTTACCTTGGACGTGATACAGGACCAGAGGTATTATGCAGCCACAAATGATCCCGCCAAAGGTCCCATGTTTGGATTGGATGACTTAACCATTAGCTTCGACAGTTTTCTAATTCCTCGACACAGTGCTTCTTTCCTAGGCGGAGCTTATAGCACCCCAGAAATACATAACAAAACTGACGTGTACGGGTTTGGACTTCTGGCTGAAACTACGAATTTCACCTGGGACGATTTGGAAGTGTTTTATTATGACAGTAAGTTGTCTTTGACCTTGTAACAAACAGTTAGGAGTTTTTGCCCATTCGCCAGAAGGAGACCGGGCCGAGTTAGTTTTCGCAAGGAACTCGGGGACTGTTACTGGGGACAGGAAAAATATGGGCCAATAGCATACCGCTGCGTCCCTTGTAACGTTCCCAGACGTCTTTGCGAAAGTTAACACTGCTTAGTTTTCTTTCGCTTCTTAAGTGTCTAGTGCGCAAGAACATGACATAGTCCTGTTCACCCATTCTTGTAAACAAAAGCACCAACTCAAGGCTTTTAGTGGCGGAATACAGTAATTTTTCACCCAAACCCCAAACTCACTTGCCGATTTCAGTCAAGGTCCCCCGGGGGGGGGCGGTGAAAGACGTGATCTAGGTGTAAATTGTACAATAAGCGCGCGTTTTACTTTTGTTGCTTACTTTCTCTTAGTACCTCACAGGGCTGTTGGAGTTTACTTTGTTGCCTATTTATATTTCTCTTAGTACCACACAGGGCTGTTGGAGTTAGTGACCAAGGAGTGATACCCGACTCAGCCTTTGCGTCATCTAGTGAGCACGTTCCTCTTAATTACTCTGCCGCCAGGGCTTTAACAAAAGAAGACGACGAGGGAGAGTGGTGTGCGCATTATAATGACACTCGACAATGGCTTCAAGCAAATCTTAGCTACACCAGTGAGCGGCCCAGTGAGCAGAATGATCAGGGACAAAGGGCTTCGGTACGGTTGCAGATTCTAAGAGCCTTCAGTGAGGAATCGTGGGTAATTTCATTTCGGGTTAACAAAAGCGATGACGGATCACAATGGGAAAGCAAGGTAAAGAGACCATCAGTCCACTCAAATGCTTACCAAGATCTGTGAGGGGTTTTTTAAAAAGGAGAAAACGCTTCCAGTGGGATGTTAAGATTTTTATTTCCCTCTCGTGATCAATACTGACCAATATTGTTTCTATCGGCACCGTTCCCGGCATAGGAAACGAAAGAGTAACGGTTGATTTCGACTGGCGCGTAATTTTTCCGTGCGAACGCACGTAAAATTTACACGCGTAAATGAAATAGAGACAATGTATGAAAGACCACGCGTAAAACGTGAAAGTTGAGCGAGGTTCGCCTCTTACTTTTACGCTTGACCTTCCATGCATTGTCTATTTTATTTACGCGCGTATAATTTACGTGCGTTCGCACGGAAAAATTACGCGCCAGTGGAAATCCACCTCAAAATGAGAATTAGTGTGAGGCAAATCGATATGGAAATAGTTTATATTTGTTTATGTCTCTAGTTACTTTCTAATTCAAATGCAATTTCACTTGTGGGTCTATGTTGTCCCACTGTTAATTTTACTTAAAGGATTTGCTTACTATTTCTTGCTTCTGCTAATTTGATGATTCAATGCCTGGCCAAGGGAAGTGTTAGCCCGACGTCGTGGCCAGACTTGTCTCGCGAGCGAGAGCTAGATATGTCGTTCGCCTACGTAACGAATATCGGCGATTTAGACTGTCTGGGACGCAGGTGGGGGAAGAGACTTAGCGGGTTCTTAATCTATATAAACCAAAACCTAAATCCGCATGGCGGAGGCGCTGAGATGTAACTGGAGCTTATTAAACAGGTTTGAACTTTTAGTCGAATCCTTTACCCCAATCCTCAGTTGAAATAATCTTTATGAGACAAAGGGCCTGTACTGTTCATATGGAGGTGGGGGAACCCGGTTAGGTGAAGTAACATGTGGCGGGTCACCCCAGCTATCATTTAAACGTTATCAATTTAAAAGTATAGATTTTGGACAGGCGGGTTACCTCACCTACCTAGGGTAACCCACCTCCATGTAAACAGGCCCTAAATACAATAAAAAAATACTAAATACTAGCATGGCGGTTCTTCTCGTTCGCGTGCGCTTTTGTGGCTTTTCCGCTCAGAAGTGCGCCCGACAAGACTTCCACGCTACGCAGGGTAATTTTCAATCATGTGTCGACGCTAATCGGCCTTCTATGAGCCAGACCCTAGGGTGTATCTCAGGGACTGAAGAGTGAATGGTTGGAGGGAAAGCGATTAAGTGACTGAATTTGGTGACTCCATCTAGCAATCATGAGACTCGGCTTCCCAGAAAAATTAAAAAAACTTGCTTTTCAATTTGTATTTAGACCTACAGGATTGGTGATCAGATTTTTATTCAGTCAAGCCCTAAATTCCTAAGAATCATTCCTTTATCATGGAAATCAAGCATTTGTATGAAAATAAACATAGCAACAAGGATGTTTTCTGGTGAAGGTAGGGATAAACTTCCTCATTGTATCTTTATATTCGAGGTCAAGTGTGGTAGATAGAAATATTAGGAAAGTGGCAAAGAGCAGAGCTGGCCACTTATATTTTTGAAGCATGCCTATTTCTATGCTTTTATAGGTTTGAAGCTGCATAGTAATTACAATCATGGATCAAATTTTTACCACTCTATCTTATTTCTTATTTCTTTATCAACCAAGTGATAATTGACAACATCACTGCATCATCTGTAAGATGCATGTCGCCTGCTTATTTTGGACGTCTTCACTTCTCTGGCTCATGTTTTTCTGCCTGGTGTTCAAAAACACAATTTTACAATCCACAACCTTGGCTATCAGTGTTTCTTGGAACTTCATATAACATCCTGTTTGTGGCCACCCAAGGCGTTAACCAAGAGCCAAACATGTATTTCCCCGTGAAGTATCTCGTTAAATATCAAGCTGACGGAACGACCAATGAATCATTGGTAACTTACAAGGAAAAAGGAATTGACAAGGTAAATAAATACCTGACTCTCTCAGAAATGTTGCCAAAATATGTCCAGACCAATCTGAGGCTTATTTAGAAACTGTCGACACTCTTAGAAGAAGGGGAAAAGTTCGATTATGCTGCACAATCAGGTTTGTAAAGACAAAGGTAATTCTTACGTTAGCACAAAAGTAAATGATGTTCTTGATTACTAAATTCAAAATAACTTCACGTTGGTCGCTCTTTTGGATATTTAAAAATAATCGAACACTTGAAGTGAACAGTAACATCATAGAGGGAAATTATAAACGACATAATTATTATCAAAAAACGTTACCAAGTTTCACGCATTTTAGAGCAGTTCTAAGCAGTTATTTGCTTGCTGACAAAAAGTACAGGCGCGTGAATTCAACATTATGGTAATTTAAAGTACACTAGTATTTTGTTTTTCTTTATCAAAGTAATTTGGTCGCTGGTAAAATCAGACAATCGTTCTTGCCTTATTTTCGTTGTAATTTGTTTTGTTTTTGACAGGTTTTTCTGGGAAATTGGGATGGTTCGACTGTTGTTAAAAATGCTATCTTGAAACCATTTAGGACTCGCGTATTGCGTTTCCATCTCATCGACTATCAGAGAGCAAATTATTCAGTTGGTGTTTGCATGCGCGTTGAGATTTACGCTCCGTTGGGTAAGTAAAAATGTGTCAAAATTTACCATCAGGTATATTTTTTTTCATTCTGAAATTGGTTCAATTCAAACTTGCATTCAAAGCGTCATTTCTGTTGCACGTTCTCTCTTTTGTTGTTATTGTCGTTGTTGTCTTTGATGATGATGATGTTTTACCTATGATGAGCTAGTTACCAGGGCCGGATCCAGAAAATTCAGAAAGGGGTTAAAATTTCCAGATTAGTTTAGGTCCTTCTTTTCTACTAAGAAGTCTTTTAATAAAACAAATTTCACGAAAAGGGGGGATTGTGGTCCTCTTGGACAACACCCAGTACATCCGCCTATAATTATAGACTTCATTTTCTTTAAAAATGGAAAAACAAACAATTATGCAGGGGAATGGATATCAAAATTTGCGAATCTCGTGGAATATCTAGGCAATCACAGGGTTAAACACCACCTACTTGCTTGGAATATAACACTTTTTCATAGCAGACAGTCAAAACACCATAATCTCTTGGCGAACGCAAGGTACCAGTGACAGACAGATAAGACAGTTCGAGTATAAACAGGTCAACGAACTATTTACCACCTATAATCAGCTAGTAATGGCTTGTGGCAAACAAATCCAAACACTCAACGTGCCTACGATTTCAAAAGAATGGCATCACGTGACTTTTTCTTGGAGCGAGTCCTTGAACCTAAAAGTCTATCAAAACGGAGTCTTGGTAAGTGAGACTGGAAGAGCTGTGGAGCAAGATTATCCCGAAGCAAGTGCGACAGACGGCTTGTTGATCGTCGGAAACAGAAATTTATCCAGTGACTTCAAACCAACAAATAACTTTCAAATTTATGGCGTAACCATGTGGCCACGCATTGTCTCTGACGCACAGATCAAAGAGATGGTGGAAACCGGTGAGGATATGTATCTTGTCTTCTTGTTGCTTTCCTAAAACATCAATGATTCGAAGGGAAGAAAAATATCATGGTGACGACATGTACTTGGAAATTTGTATATTTTGTTGAAAAAAATAAAGCTTTTGCTGTCAAACTCTGAAAACCGTGAAGATACTTCAGGAATTTCTATTGTTTTTCGGCCAATCACAAAAAGATCAGGGCACGTGACAAGACGTGCGCAAAACTACAAACTTTTTACGTTGCAGCTGTTTGCGGTTTAGTTTAGTACACCTAAGTGCCCCTGCTTTCAATAACATTAAAAATATTTCCGGTGTTGTTTTGATTGCTGACGGTTTTTCGGTAAAACATTTATCCTTTTCTTTTGTTTTTTTCTTTTTGCTTTTCAACTAATCTGTTAATCTAGTCTCTTCTCTAATTCAGATTGAATTAGATAGTAATTAACCAAATTGACTCACTTCGGTTTCTGTCAACGGAGGGCTTGTAATAATATTTAAACCTAGAATTCATATTTAGGAGATCCACTGTCTAAAAATTAACAAAAAGAAAACGTAAAATCGTAGATAAATTTGTTAGTCTGTAAATATTTGGTTGCAGACTAATTCGGAAATCGCCGTCTAGTTACCAGACCTCAACAAATAGGGATTATTATACTTTTTTTGGAAACTGCCAACTTACCCGTCCCCTATTTCAATATTAACACTTGCTTTTAACTTATAGGGCAAAATGTTGGCTTAAGGGAGGGGTAGATGGGCAGTTTCCCTGAAACGCATAATAATCTGGCAAAATATTTGTGCCCTGATATCTACAACTAGTTAGACAGTATAGCCTTCTCAGATGCGGACGCAAAACAGTGAGCGCTGTCTCACGCATGCTTAGTAACATTTTTATGAATGAAGCTCTCATGGGGGGCCTGTAACAGAATCCTCACTACTTGTTGTTTCTCTCTTGGGTAGATAGAAAATCAATGGGTTGATATCAACTGGGAAACAGACCTGTTTCATCCCTTGTCACCGTGTTTATTCGCCATAGCAAAAAAGCAACAACAACAGCAAATCAGGGACCTGTAGTTCATTTCATTTTCACTTCATTTTCAATTCATTTTACCACCATATCGGCCTAAAACGTTAACCCGCTTATAGCAGGAGAGGTCGTTTCGTATTCGACAATTTGTGATCTTGTACGATTTCGTCACATTTCAGAGTAATGGTTGAGTGTTTATGTTGTTTTTATAGTGCCTTGTCGCATGATCGACGGGTGTTTAACAAATTCAAAATCCGGTGATTTTGATTGGCGCTGCTGGTCAGCGTGTACCTCAACCTACTACACAGGGCCATGTTCGGATCCAATCAACGCAGATCAAGGTACCCCTTTTTCGTATAGATTCCCTAAAGATATCACGTCAGTTTTCTCCCTCGTTTTCTCCATCATCATGTGTATTCTCAGCCTGTGAGTAAGCTCTCTATTTGAGGGAAATCGAGAGTTGTCATGCGCGAGTGGCACTCGAGAGGAGGCGCGAGAGCCGCGCATAGTTTCGTCGCCGCTCGCTTGCTCCCTCGCGTGTTATCGCGCACCTCGCCTTGCTTGCCACTCGAAATGGAGAGCCTTGTTTTATGTTAGTTTAAATTCTATTAACTGTATAGTAGTGTCTTCACTGTTATTTAGTCCATCTATATATAAATATTGTTTTGTAATATGTCTTCAGCTCCCTCCGCCTCGATTAGTTTATAGGCTTTTTGCGGGTGGGAAAGTAATGTAATTAATTATTTTCCAATTTTCAATAAAATTTGTTGTTTGTTGTTTTGTTGTTAGAGCTTGCTCTCAGGATTTTGTATTCTTAGCATTTTTCTCAGTACATTTCCAATGACATTCATGCAATGAATGTGTCATTTGTTGATTTTTTTTTCTCAAGACTTTAATTTTGAATAAATCACTGTTTCTAATGGTGAAATTAAACCTCCTTCCTTCATATGCACAATAAAGGGACAGACCCAAATGTCTACACTAGAGTACTTATTTACAATAATAGTGTCATTAAGGAAAGTTTCGACTTTACGTGAATATGAGTCTTGTTTATTGTGTTGTTCAATCCAGTTTTCATGATCCGCAGTGATTCCTTTTGTTGACACTACAACTAAACACTATGACTAAAGGGCAGCCTATTCCCTAGGCGTTCTCTCTTGATCCGTTGTCCGCGCGAAGTCTGGGAGTATCTCTCGGTGACGTCACAACTCATGGTAGAGTCCAGGAATGACCGAGCCGAAAACGCCTGGGGACTAGGCTGACCAAAGGTCGTTCACCTACACATGAAAACGGTTTCGCCCGCACTTCCTAGCCAACAGCTATTGCTAGTTATTTTATTATTACTTTTTTTTCTTTTACCTTTTCCCATTCAGTTAAGCGTTCATTCCTAAATGGAGTTTTCAAGGGCACAACAGCTCAGCTACCCAATGGACCCTCGTGGTTAGCTGTTGATGGCAATATCAACACAAGCACCGTCATCAGCCACAAGTCCAATCCATGGTGGATGGTAGATCTTACCCGGGTGGGCGTAGTCACTGGTATTAAACTGAATCTCAAAACAAACATGTCTGGTACCGATCAAGCAATTCTCCTAGTGACTGTGTCCAACCCAAATTTCAGCGATCAAGAGTGCGTCACTTTTAGACTGAATGAAAGCATTTCTGACGTGCATGCGATAGCTTATTGTGAACGGCCGATTTGCGGGCGTTCTGTACGACTTTCTATGATTGCAGCTCAAGATCTCGGCGGTGATGGATCTGCTGCTAGCAACTGCAGCTTTACAATGGACTTACGAGAGATTGAAGTTATATTAGGTAAGAAATTAAAACTTAAACGTTAGGTAGAAACACGAAGTTGACCTTATTGAAAATGGTACTCTCGTTTTTGTCTA